CCCGGGGCCCCTCCCCCTCTCAGTGCGTCCGGGGGTGGCCACGCCCCCTCATTTGCATGGCCACGCCCATATCAATATAAACCTGCCCCCTCATTTGCATGGCCACGCCCATATCAATATAAACCTGCCCGCTCATTTGCATGGCCACGCCCATATCAATATAAACCTGCCCCCTCATTTGCATGGCCACGCCCATATCAATATAAACCTGCCCGCTCATTTGCATGGCCACGCCCATATCAATATAAACCTGCCCGCTCATTTGCATGGCCACGCCCATGTCCGCATCAACCCTGCTGCCTCATTTGCATGGCCACACCCACATAAGATACACCCACCTCATTTGCATAGCCACACCCATACTCATATAAACTTCCCCTCTCATTTGCATGGCCACACCCATATCGGGCACAACCCCTCATTTGCATGTCCACGCCCATATCAACATTAACCCTGCATTTGCATAGCCACGCCCATATTGGCCACACCCCTCATTTGCATGGCCACGCCCATATCAACAACCCTGCAATCTCATTTGCATGGCCACGCCCACATTGGCCACACCCCTCATTTGCATGACCATGCCCATATCAACATTAGCCCTGCCCTCTCATTTGCATGGCCACACCCATATTGATCACACCCCTCATTTGCATGGCCATGCCCACATTCATATATCCTCATCCTATCATTTGCATGGCCACACCCATATTGGCCACACCCCTCATTTGCATAGCCACGCAAATTCATATAATCTTGCCCTCTCATTTGCATGGCCACGCCCATATTGGCACACCCCTCATTTGCATGGCCACACCCATATCAGCCACACCCCCTCATTTGCATGGCCACGCCCATCTTGGCCCCTCCCCCACTTACATGGCCCCGCCCACATCCCCGTGAGTCACACCCCCTCATTTCCATAGCCCCACCCATATTCCATTGGCCACACCCCTCATTTCCATAGCCCCGTCCATATTCCATTGGCCACACCCCTCATTTCCATAGCCCCGCCCAGATTCCATTGACCACACCCCTCATTTCCATAGTCCCGCCCATATTCCCTTGACCACGCCCCTCATTTCCATAGCCCCGCCCATATTCCATTGACCACACCCCTCATTTCCATAGCCCCGCCCATATTCCATTGACCACACCCCTCATTTCCATAGCCCCGCCCATATTCCATTGACCACACCCCTCATTTCCATAGCCCCGCCCATATTCCATTGACCACACCCCTCATTTCCATAGCCCCGCCCATATTCCATTGACAACACCCCTCATTTCCATAGCCCCACCCATATTCCATTGACCACACCCCTCATTTCCATAGCCCCCCCCAGATTCCATTGACCACACCCCTCATTTCCATAGCCCCACCCATATTCCATTGACCACACCCATTTCCATAGCCCCGCCCATATTCCATTGGCCACACACCTCATTTCCATAGCCCCGCCCGGATTCCATTGACCACACCCCTCATTTCCATAGCCCCGCCCAGATTCCATTGACCACACCCCTCATTTCCATAGCCCCACCCATATTCCATTGGCCACACCCCTCATTTCCATAGCCCCACCCATATTCCATTGGCCACACCCCTCATTTCCATAGCCCTGCCCATATTCCATTGGCCACACCCCTCATTTCCATAGCCCCACCCAGATTCCACTGGCCACACCCCTCATTTCCATAACCACACCCATCTTCTGCTAAGCCACGCCCATAATTTGCATAACCGGCCCTTACGTTGATGGCCACGCCCCTTCTCCCGTTTACTTTGCTGGCCCCGCCCCCTCATTTTCATAGCAGCCCAGCCTGATCCCTCATTTGCATGGCCACGCCCCTGAACAGTCATCGCCACGCCCCTCATTTCCATAGCCACGCCCCAAAAACTCATCACCGCGCCCCTCATTTGCATAGCCCCACCCCCCATCTGCCCCTCCCCCCCTTGGCTGTTTCCCCTCCTTTTTTTTCCCGGAATTCCCGCGGTTGTTCCCGGTGTTATTCCCGGTGTTGTTCCCATTCCCGGTGTTGTTCCCATTCCCGGTGTTGTTCCCGGTGTTATTCCCGGTGTTGTTCCCATTCCCGGTGTTGTTCCCATTCCCGGTGTTGTTCCCATTCCCGGTGTTGTTCCCAGTGTTATTCCCGCTGTTGTTCCCATTCCCGGTGTTGTTCCCATTCCCGGTGTTGTTCCCATTCCCGGTGTTGTTCCCAGTGTTATTCCCGCTGTTGTTCCCATTCCCGGTGTTGTTCCCATTCCCGGTGTTGTTCCCATTCCCACTGTTGTTCCTATTCCCGGTGTTGTTCCCGGTGTTATTCCCGCTGTTGTTCCCATTCCAGGTGTTGTTCGCGGTGTTGTTCCCATTCCCATTCCCGCTGTTGTTTTTCCGGCTGTTATTCCCAGTTTTTACCTCAGCCCCTTCCCGCTGTAGCCCCTCCCCCCCTTCCCATTATTCCCGCTGTTATTCCCGGTGTTCCAGTTCTTGTTCCGACTGTTGCTCCAGGTGTTGCCTCAGCCCGTTCCCGCTGTTATTCCCGTTCCCGTTCCCATTGTTATTCCCGGTGTTGTTCCCATTGTCATTCCCATTGTTATTCCCGGTGTTATTCCCATTATTCCGGCTGTTGTTCCCATTGTTATTCCCAGTGTTATTCCCGGTGTTGTTCCGGCTGTTGTTCTGCCTGTTCCCGTTACCTCAGCCCGTTCCTGCTGTAGCCCCTCCCCCATTCCCGTTTGTTGTTCCCATTGTTATTCCCGGTGTTATTCCCATTATTCCGGCTGTTGTTCCCATTGTTATTCCCGTTGCTCCCATTCCCATTCCCGCTGTTGTTCCGCCTGTTGTTCCGGCTGTTGTTACCTCAGCCCGTTCCCGCTGTAGCCCCTCCCCCATTCCCACTGTTGTTCCCATTCCCGTTCCCATTCCCGCTGTTGTTTCCGCCTGTTGTTCCCGGTGTTGTTCCGCCTGTTCCCGTTACCTCAGCCCGTTCCCGCTGTAGCCCCTCCCCCATTCCCACTGTTATTCCCGCTGTTGTTCTGCCTGTTGTTCCCATTCCCATTCCCATTCCCATTCCCGGTGTTGTTCCGGCTGTTGTTCCGGCTGTTGTTCCCATTCCCGTTCCCATTCCCGGTGTTGTTGTTCCGGCTGTTGCCGTTACCTCAGCCCGTTCCCGCTGTAGCCGTGGTCGTGCTGTGCCGGCAGCGCCCGGAGCCGAGCGGCCGCAGCGGCCTCGGAGAGACCCAGCTTGGGCAGGCGCGGCCTGCGGGACCAGGACGGACCAGTTCAAACCAGTATGGACCAGTATAAACCGGTTCAAACCAGTATAGACCAGTACAGACCAGTATAAACCAGTTCAAACCAGTATGGACCAGTACAGACCAGTATAAACCGGTTCAAACCAGTATGGACCAGGACGGACCAGTATGGACCAGTACAAACCACTGCCAACCCCCTCCCAGTTCCCTCCCAGTTCCATCCCAGTCCATCCCAGTTCCCTACCAGTCCCTCCCAGTCCATCCCAGTCCCTCCCAGTCCATCCCAGTCCATCCCAGTTCCATCCCAGTCCCTCCCAGTCCCTCCCAGTCCATCCCAGTCCCTCCCAGTCCATCCCAGTCCATCCCAGTTCCATCCCAGTCCCTCCCAGTCCATCCCAGTTCCCTCCCA